TAGTATATATATATATCAGTTTAACTGTTATTATAGTACCCTGAATTCTTTTATAATTCAATGTTTTAGTTAGCTTTTCGAAATTAGGTATCCCAAGCAGCACAAAGGTATTAATAGTTTGTTATACCATTACATTGTTTAGTTGAAGAACAATTTGTTCACATGGAATGAGCGTTTATCAGTTACAATTATTATTTCATTGTAAATCATTATTTAATCTAATAAAGCCATATTTTATCAAAATCACACATGCTTCCCTTTCCCTCTCATCTCAAAAGATGTCTCATTGAAACTAAAATTTATTGTCTGCTTGAAGCTAATGGCACCTTAAGGAACAATAAAACATGTGACCATTTTCCACAAATAGACTTGTACTGGTAAAATGCCTCGAAAGTGATACAATAATAAATGTTATTGTACTGCGGACGGGTGGCTCCTACACGCATAGCGACATATATGTACGGTGCTCCCTGCTGCTGGGTTCAAGGCGTGTGCATGCCCCTCACAGCAGGGAGAAGGAACAAATAGATTTTAGGTAAAAAGTGTGCTGCTTTTTACTAAGTACACATATTACCACTTGTTAGGCACACATTTAACCCCTTGATTACCCCAAGATGTTAACCCCTTCCCAGCCAGTGTCATTAGTACAGTGACAGTGTATATTATCACTGATCATGGTCTTAGTGTCACTAGTGATTTCAGTGTCAGATTGCCCACCACACTATCACAGTTCCACTATAAGTCACTGATCACCACCATTACTAGTATTAAAAAAATAAATAAATACAAATTCCAGTATACATACCATAGTTTGTAGAAGCTATAACTTTCACATAAATCAATACACACATATTTTTTTTTCACCAAAGACACGTAGCAGAATACATTTTCGCCTAAATTTATATAGAAATTTCATTTTTACATTTTTTTATTGCATATGGTTTATAGCAGAATATATATATATATATATATATATATATATATTTTTCAAAATGTTCGGTATTGTATAAAACTACAAAACCCAGTGGTGATCAAATACTACCAAAAGAAAGCTCTATTTGTGTGAAAAAAATTATATAAATGTAATTTGTATACAGCGTTGCATGACCACGCAATTACCAGCAAAAAATGGCCTGGTCATGAAGAGGGTAAAACCTTCCTGAGCTCAAGTGGTTAAAAGCACTTTTTTCACCTGAGTATAGAGCCTACACTCCAAACTGCATCTAGCAAAACATTATTTATTTATTTCAGGTACTTGCATAGTGCCATCAATTTACGCAGTGCTTTACATATATCTTGTACATTCACATCAGTCCCTAACCCTCAAGGAGCGTACAATCTAAGGTCCCTAACTTACATTCATACATACACATACTGGGGCCAATTTAGACAGGATCCAATTAACCTACCAGCATGTCTTTGGAGTGTGGGAGGAAACTGGAGTACCCGGAGGAAACCCACACAGGCACAGAGAGAACATGCAAACTCCAGGCAGGAGGTGCTGTGGCTGGGATTTGAACCAATGACCCTAGTACTGCCAGGCAGAAGTGCTAACCATTTAGCACAGTGCAATGTATTTTGAATGCACCCAAATATACATATAAATTAATGTATGAAAGCATATAACTTCTAAATGCATTGTTGGAAATTAAATAGCATACTGCCAATCAAACTATAAATAGAAATGCATGTGGTTGATGCATGTATATATTTCTAAAAAATAAAATGCAAAAAATATATACTTAACATAAGACTTTAGTATAACTTTGCAGCTTGCTTTTGTGCTTATATTTATCTGAGAATGTTTTAAAATCTTACAATAGGCTATATCTCTAAATGGACAACGACAAATGTGTTTAAAGCAACTTCTCTTAAGTAAAACTAGCCAAGTACATATTTAAGCAAAGGGCCATCTGGCTCTCCTTGACCAAGTTTTTATTAGGAAAGAATCTCCCACTAGAGTTTTTAAAGTTGCATCTGTTATTCATCAGTTACTTTACCCCACATTTCCTGTAAGTGGTTTGTTTGGGTAATAAGCAGTTACTCACATCATTAAATGAACAAAGCCTTTCTGATCACCTGCAGTTCTATTACAAAGACAGTTCCTGAAGGGAATTTAAAAGGTAGTGATTCTGAAGTAACTTGTACTGGGCACAGGGGAGCCTAGATTTCAAATATTCTTAAATCTGTCACTTGACCTGGAGGAAAACATAAACACACAACACATGACAGCACATAAAAAAACGCAAGTATAGTGAATTAATTAATTAAAGTTGTCACTCAACACAAAACTTGCATCTGAAAGAATAAACAAATCCCATGAAGGTGAAGACATAAGAAGTGTGAAACACAGCAAAGGATTTGATGTGCGTTGAGAAGATAAATTATAGCAGAAAAGAGAGGTCTATGACAATAAATAACAAATAAATCCAAAACTAACATCATATGCACATGCATAACTGTTCATCTACATTCCCCTCAAATTTGAAGGGAATGAACATGACTTTTTCAGGTGCTTTGAATAGGAATGTTATGTATTTCTGTATGTGTATTTTTCTGTGCGTTCCTGCGCTAGCGTTTGTCAGGGGGCAGGATACATGCTTGCTTCACATAAGCATGAAGAACCAACATTAAAATAGTATGATACAAATCTGTTCAACATTGGATAATAAGTGTTACATGTAAACTTGGAGAGTTACAACATAGTAAGTATTCACGAGATTACATGTTTATAATCAAGACATTTTGGTGGCTTCCCATGCTAAGTATATTTTATATTTTGTGTACTGTTGTTTTCTGGCACCACTGCCTATGACCTTTGAGGCACACTGAGGACCATTGTCTAATAGAAGTTGTCCTAGACTCACATGAAGAAAAAAAATGACTCTTAGTGGCAAGGATGGTAAATGTTTCTTAAAGGTTCTATTTATGGAAAATGTTGTCCCTGCTTCCCCGTCTGTGCGCGCTCCCTGGGAGCACACGGCACTGTGATCTGGTGCCTGCTGTGTCTGGATCACTGTACGGGACCTCTGTGTGAGGTCCCGATCATGTGATCGCTGATTGGCCAATCAGTGATCACATGAATAGTAGTAAGCAAAATGTCACTTCTTACATCGTTGCTTACTACGTGTGAAATCTGTGAATGATCACAGAGATCACATGGTACAAGGCTATTCAGAACAGCCTTGTACCATGTGACAAGCTGTGACCAATCTCAGCTCACACAGTATTTCTCAATGGCTTCAAGAATGCAGCCACAGAGAAGGAGAAATGATTGCTTTACAACCTTTATGGGTGTAAAAGCAATCAGTGTAAAAAAATATATATTTATCACCCCCCCCCAAGTAGTACAGTGTCACTGTGGTGACACTGTACTGCTAGGGTGACAGTATGTTAAAAAAAAAAAAAACATAAATAATAATATAAAAAAATAAAATAATGTCAAAAACATTTTTTGAAAAATGTTTAATTTTTGGTTATAAACTAATTTGGGTTTTTTTTTTACTAAAAAGATAGATGAATACATTTTGGCCAAGATTTATGTATTTTTTTTCAAAATGTCTGGACTTTTTCATTTATATAGCAAAAAAATTTTAATCCAAGTGGTGAATAAATACCACCAAAATAAAGTTTTATCTGTCTCAAAAAATGCTAAAAAATTCATATGGGTACAGTGTTGCATGACCGCACAATTGTCATTCAAAGTGTGATAGCACTGAAAGTTGAAAGTTGGCCTGGACAGGAAGGGGGTGAAAGTGTCCGGACTTGAAGTGGTTAATATTTTGCATTGGCTGCCACATAAAGACCTGATGCAACCTTTTGCCATGGTGTGAGGGGAATCGCACGTGGGATCATCGGTTCCCCTGGATAATGCTGCAAATAAAGTTGACATTTGGGAAATCATTTCTGGAGAGTAGAATATATTCCACACTCTTGTACATTTACAATCTCCATATATGCCCTTGATATATTTTTTAATTTTATTAACCCCTTCCCACTGGTCATATGGAGACATGTGGCCTCACGGAAGTGGGCCTTTACCCGTTGAACAGCATATCTCCATACCTGTGATTGTGCTACAACCGCCCACACAGTTCTGGGAGCTCCCTGTTCTGGGTCACCTGATTGCTGTGATAGCCTCCAATTGGCTATCCCAGTGATCAGTCACTATGCAGCCCTCCCCTGTATTTACTCTGTCTTCCGAATGGAGAGACAGCTACATTACATTGTATCTCCCTCTCCTTGCAGGAGATGAAGATGTAAATAAACAAAAATGTGTAAAAAAACTATTTAAAAATTAAAAAGATAAAATAGCTAGATCAAGGTTTGATCTAGGTCAGTGCCAAGGTTTGTGTTAGGATCAAGGCAAGGGTCAAAGGTCAAAGTCAAGGGCAAAAGTCGGGGTCAAAGGTCAAGGTCAGTATATTTTGAGTAGAATTCTTTTTTTTTTTTTTTTTTAAGCATTTTTTTAAATTAGCATCAGTGTCACTTTGTGTCTGTGTTTTAGATAGGATAGGAAAAAAGTGTGCATCATTGTTTCTGGGCCCTACTATGAGTACAAACAACAACTAACGTGTAGTATTGCTACATTTCTTAGAAGCTAGAGAATTTATTTTAGGTTGTTCTTTGTTGGTAATTTATGGTAATAGCAAGAAATATACAGATAAATATAAATAAAATGATTTTTTAAATCTTTAAATTTTGGGCCAGTTTTCCTTTGATAATATAAAAAGAAATATCAGGAAATTTTTGCTACCATTTACCACTTTAAGAAAGCCCAATTTGTCCAGAAAAAAGGTATAATCCACCTGGATACACAAAGTAGTTGCGATCAAATGTAAAATTTTACTAACACATCAAAGTTGCTAAATTGTGTTTAGGCATTAACATTTGTTTTATCCTTAGTTGCTTTTGTTTTACCCTTCATTGCTAAGGGGTTAAATTTGGTAACAACCAACTTTTAAAGATCAAATCATCAACCCAGGGGTGGACTGACCATTCAAGCACCCGGGGTCAGTAGGGGGCCCCATAAAATGCCCCTTGTACCTTTTATAGGCTTTTTTGGGTGTGTTTTGAGTGTGGGCAAGGACACAGGGGCCCCATGATCCCCAATTTCCCGGGGGCCCCATGAGTTGTCAGTCCGCCCTTGCATCAACCATAACCAACCATGGTTTCAAATCAGTTGGAGGTGACTTTGCTAGGCATTTTTATTTGACATTTTTCCATTCAATGCATCTTTGAGCAGCAGCCAGCTTAGGGTATCACCAGCTAAAATCTTAAATCCTGATATCTAATCCTAAATTCTGCTGATATCTGCTGATATTTTTTTTTTCAGAATGCCATTGGATTCATTTTTATCAGAATTGCCCAAACTGGAAAAGAATATGCATCTTGCTCAAGGTAAGTGGTTTTTCACAGACTCCACTGCAAAGTGGCCAGGTGCTGGTTTGACTCATTGCACCCCAGCAAATCAGTCAAAAAAAAGAAAATTAATCACTGCATTATGGGCTGTAGCAACTTTTTTTGTTTAGTAAATAGCAGCAGGGGTCACCTCCAGGGGCGGACTGACAACTCATGGGCCCCCCCGGCCACAGCGGATCATGGGGCCCCTATGTCCTCGCCCAAACTCAAAAAAGCCTATGAAAAAGGTACCAGGGGCATCTCATGAGGCCCCCTACTGACCCCGGGCCTTCGGGCAGTGCCCGAGTTTCCAAATGGTCTTTCCGCCCCTGGTCACCTCTGATATCTTTCATGCTAATAAAAGTGCTTTTCAGTTGGAACATATCAGAGGTGATCCCAGCTGCTGTTTAAGAAACAAGAAAGGTTGCTGTTGCCCAAAGTGCAGTGTAGCCCTGTTTTGGGGGGGGTTATGTGAAATGGCCCACACCAAACAAGCTATGGCGCTAACCTGTATATGAGTAGGCAATCCTGAGCCTTCGCTATATGGAAGAGGGGGTTGTGATAATACAAATGGCAGTGCCTCCACCTAGAATAGGGATCCTGCAATTGAGGAGACTCACCCCTTTCTAGGAATGTAACAGGTAGACAACTTAAAGTAACTATACATAGCAGTATTAATGCACCCAGCTTATATTTCTAACATGAAAACATGTCACCACACCTGTATGAGATTAATGCAAAGTTTATATATAAAGCAGCCACTTAAAACAGGATGCATAAGAATAACATTCAGGAATTACAATTTAGCATAAATTGGGAGGTTGCAATTATACCCGGGTATATGTGCATGTGGTATACAGAATACCTCCAACCATGGGTTATAGCGCAGTCCGGTTGCAGGGGCCCCTGGAGAGGTGAGAGTCCATAAGATGCACGCTTCCACTTTAGATGCTGTGATGGCGTCCAAGTAACATGCGGATGATTGCACTGCTTGTCTGAAGATCAGCGATGCATCACCTAAAAGGATAAAATGCTCTATCTATCCTCACTCTTAGTCCCTATCCCTAAACTGGGCTGTCACTGCAACCGGGCCTCTATCTGTCTAAGTGGCCGTCGGATGCCTAACCTACCTCTAGCCTAATCTATCCAACGCTCACTATGCTAATCCTAGCTAAAGAGAGATCCAGACCAATAAGGCTCTTTAAGCAAAGAGGCTGCAAAGATACACTGCAATTAACATAAAGTTCACCTGACAGTCTTATGCAGGTGAAAACACTGATCTATATATATATATATAGACAACTATAAGGATTCTGCAGTGTGTAAATAGAATAATGATAATGAACCACAAATCTCTCTCTTACAGATATATTAGGGTTCCTATACAGAAGTTGAAATATAACAGAGGCAGGACCTAATCTGCTTCAGTAACAACTAAATAGATAGCAGCCTTGTTAATCTGGATCAGTACTCACAGAATCCCCATACAGTTCTCCCCAGATACATAGCACATGGCAGGCTGGTACCCTCTGCCTGATACTTCCTGGAAAACAACTATATAACATTCCTGGGGTTTCTTGACCTCCTTGTAGGGGCAGGAAGCACACCTAGGGACTTGTCTGTAATGGGACCTCTATAGTAGTGACTGTATATGGATGTAAACAAACCACAACTAGTGTATAAAATAACAGTTCCCTACAGCAGAAATTAATTTTTTTTCCTGGCTGACCAAACTGAAAGGAGGACTTGACTTTGCCAACTTTGCCAAATGCATTACTGCGAGGGGATTTCAACTGAAAGAGTTTATTATTAAATGTTCTCTCAGAGGTGATAATATAACAGCAAAATGTGGAATTAATTTAGCTTGGCATTTGCTGGGTGTTAATACCTATTTAAAGCATCAATCTGTCCTTGTCTAGCTTTGTCTGTCCATATTTTGACCTGGCCTCCTAAACAGTATTTTGCACCAGCAAGCTTGCTGTAGATAATAATGTCTTTGTCTTAGAGTGTTGGCGTTTGATAATGCTCACACTTTAAAGTCTTAAGTATCTGAGGTCTATCCACAGCTCATTTGTTCATGATTTTTAACTAGGACTATTGAAATCACAATAAAAGCAATGTATTTATAAAAAAAATGTAGAGCTATTCATTCTGTGAATCTGTATTTAGGTGTATTATGTGAGAATACCAGGAGAATCAAATACTACTAGGCTATTTTCTTTCCAGGTCAGATGTTCTTCTTTCATAACAATAGCTTGAATCAGGAAAATACAGCATTTTGGCCAGTAGATGGACCTGGTGATCATAGTAAAAATGTATTTAAAGTGATACGAAACCCATGGCCTTGCATTCACTATATCTGGTTTCCCACACTACACACAACATGGAAATACAATTATTGTAGTAAATATAAACTGCTAAATACCTTTTCTCATCAACAGTTAGAGCAGTCTTGTGACTTCTATCAATGTCCAGCAGAGCACATGTTAAAGCTTGTAGGAGGAAAGAACAAAGAGAGGGCGCACAGGCCTAGTGCATTACCATAAAAAATGTTTAATAAGAAATAAAATAGGTGTTGTACTCACAAAAACGACAATAAAGTCAAGGCACATCATAAAAGAACAGCAGGGTCAACACCGTGCTGAGTAACAGTCCGTAATGGGGAGTGTAGACATCCAATAGGTTGACGCGTTTCGAGGACTTGCCTCTTTCTCAGAGCCACTTTTATTGTCGTTTGTGAGTACAACACCTATTTTATTTCTTATTAAACATTTTTTATGGTAAGTCACTAGGCCTGTGCGCCCTCTCTTTGTTCTTTCCTCATTCAGTATATTTGGATTCCCCGGTCTGTTGAGGGCAGCAAGGTGTGCATGTTCCAGGACATTCTTAATGTGGTTGCAGCCTGCATCGAGTCCATCCCCAAGCGCAGGAGAATTTGTGTTTGCTGGTTTAAAGCTTGTAGGAGGCCTGCCTATAAGGCTGCATAACCCCTGACCCTCTGTCTGGACAGTGCTGACTGGCTCTGTGCTGATCACATACACTCTCCCAAAGAAAAAAAAAAACCTCTCTAGGAATACACACCAAACTGAGCATGTGCTGAGTGACTCCAATGACTCTGTTTTATCAGGAGATGAGTCGGGGGCAATGGAAGAAGGGGACAATACAGAGGAATAACCCCTTAGGTTCCACAGTGAGTATAACAAGCATGCTTGACTGCATATACAGTACATATAAATATCAAGCGTAGGTGAGTGCTGGAACTATGAAGCAGCTAGCACCAAGGTATAGGTAACACCTCCTTATGGATAAATATATAGAAGGTGCACCGCTAAAATAAGTGAATGATATTGTACTGAAAATAAAGTGCTAACTCAATCTGACATATAGCGGAAAAAAAATATACAGTACAGACTGATTTTACTGTTGTGGGTTTGGTAACACTTTAATTGCCATGATCATCAGCTGCAACTACTGACCATAATGTGGTATTTTCCTGTTCCATGCACTTCTTATGTATCAAGAATATCTGACATGGAAAGAAAATACCCTAATACCATTCAGTTCTGGCAGCATTCACACAGAACAAATGTACATGTATTTTAGCAGGACTAATAGCTCCATGATTTGTTTTTAAATACACCCCAAGTATTTGCATCCTGTCAGGCTTTTTTACAAGTCATTCCATTAATGCGACTGGAACTCTGCAAGGTGTAAGCACTGTTTGGCTAATTATATCTAATTGTATCTACCGAGATAGCCAGACAATTTCAGCACAACAAACACAGCACTAGGCTACCCACATTGTTTATTTAGCTGTTTGGTAGCTGTACCTGATCTTGAATGCTTTTTCTGTTGATATATACATTCTGTGAAATAAAAATAAATTGTATTTACAAAGCTAGATTAGTTACTAGTGGAAGTAATGATTTCATTTAAAATGTGTGCCATTATTACATGCTATGTAAATACTTTGCACATCTATAGAGCATTTTAGTGTACTAATTGCTTTTTTTGCATTTGTGACGCATATTTTTTGCCACATGTGTGGTCTTCTACATGTTCCGCTTGTTTTTTTTTCTATGAGTGTGTCGCACTGTATTCAGCCCACATGGAAGAAAAATATATTTGAAATATATTTTAAAAATATTCTTACCAAATACTGTATATTGAAATATATTTGAAATGCTGCAATTTTGGCCATATTCAATATATTTCTCCTATATATATATATATATATATATATATATATATATATATATATATATACACACACACACACATACACTATATGTTGAAATGCATTTTTATTACAAAATATATGAAAAATATTTGTACAAAATGTTTTTAAAAATACAGTTCAAATATACTGTATGTCTTTAAAAATACAAATCTACATATTTGGAGTGCATTTACAAATATATGTAAAAATATATGTTAAAATTACTTTTTAATATGTTAAAAAATATTCTTCAGATTTTTTTTAACATATAAAAAAGTATTTTTAACATATATTTTTTACATATTGCAAATGCATTCCAAAAATGTAGATTTGTATTTTTAAAGACATACAGTATATTTGAAATGTATTTTTAAAAATATTTTTCATATATATTGTAATAAAAGCGTATTTCAACACAGTATATATATATATATATATATATATATATATATATATATATATATATATTGAAATATATTGACTATGGCCAAAATTGTAGCATTTCCAATATATGTCAATTTATTTTGGAAGAATATTTTTAAAATATATTTCAAATATATTTTTCTTCCATATGGGTGGGCTGGGCCCACCACCTGTTAGGCAGAGTGATCACCACCTGACAAAAGTTGCATAATCCAGGCCTGTTGTCATCAGGAAGAGAGCAGTGTAGGAGCGTGTAAACTAGTAAGTAGATGAGGGCAATTAAATAAGCCTGCCACTGACCACCAATGTGGGAGGATTAACAACACTGTCAATTATCAGCAATGCAGGGGGTTTACCAGCACTGCCACTGATCACTAATGCGGGGGGGGGGGGGTTAAATACTACTGTCACTGACCATTTGGGGTTATTGTCGTCACTCAAGCTAGTGCAGAGGATTATTATTGCTGTCACTCACAGCAATGCTTGGGGTTATTCTTGCAGTCACTGGCACCAATGCTATTATTGTGGTCAATGGCAGGGGGTTGTTATTGCAGTCACTCTGACCAAGTTTGAGGGTTATTGTTGTGATCAGATACCAGTGCAAGGGGATATTACAGTGGCAACTGACACTACTGAAAGGCCCTATTTTACTCCCACTTTCTCAAAAGTTTGCATTGCGTTAAATAATACAGCAAGACCAACATTTTCAGGTGTTAAGGTGCATTACAGACCATTCATTCTGAATGGGTTGCCAAACTCAACATAACGCACAGCTTCAGTGCACAAAAATCAAGCTGCTATTTGTTCGCCCCTTTGAAAGTGCCAGGAGCCACACTTGAGGCCCTTAACAATTTTCTCAGATGTCGGACTGGATGTTGCTAAGAGATGCCTAGCTGTCACTGTTCAACTTAACCATCATAGGAGGGAGCTCTCAAACACCGAGGTCAGAGTCAATGCCTCAAGGGGGGGAAAAGCGCATGTGAGGGGTTTGAATCAGAGAAAGAACTCAATCCTGCGATGGGCAAGGTGAACAGTAACAGCTAGGTTAAACAAAAATAATGAATTGTGCTATGGCTATACCAAATCGAAACTAAAGTAGTGTCAAAACTTAAAATATTAACTGGTGCAGGTGCTCAAATGTGTTCCACTGTTACTCAAAGAAAAATTCCTTTAAAACAGTGCTCAACAGTATGCAATACGAAAAGAAACAATATCCAAAGTGTCCAAATAAACCTTCAGTCCATATACACTATATTTCCGAAAGTATTGGGACTCCTGCCTTTACACGCACATGAACTTTAATGGCATCCCAGTCTTAGTCCGTAGGGTTCAATATTGAGTTGGCCAACCCTTTGCGACTATAACAGCTTCAGCTCATCTGGGAAGGCTGTCCAGAAGGTTTAGGAGTGTGTCTATGGGAATGTTTGACCATTCTTCCAGAAGTGCATTTGTGAGGTCACTGATGTTTGATGAGAAGGCCTGGCTCGCAGTCTCCGCTACAATTCATCCCCAAAGGTGTTCTATTGGGTTGAGGTCAGGACTCTGTGCAGGGCAGTCAAGTTCCTCCACCCCAAACTCGCTCATCCCATGTCTTTATGGACCTTGCTTCGTGCACTGGTGCGCAGTCATGTTGGAACAGGAAGGGGCCATCCCCAAACTGTTCCCACGAAAGTTGGGAGCATGAAATTGTCCAAAATGTCTTGGTATGCTGATGCCTTAAGAGTTCCCTTCACTGGAACTAGGGGCCAAGCACAACCCCTGAAAAACAACCCCACACCATAATCCCCCCTCCACCAAATGTTACACTTGGCACAGTTCAGGCAGGCAAGTACCGCTCTCGTGGCAACCACCAAACTCAGACTCGTCTATTGGATTGCTAGACAGAGAAGGGTGATTCATCACTCCAGAGAACACATCTCCACTCCTCTAGAGTTCAGTGGCGGTGCGCTTTACCCCATTGCATCTGATGCTTTGCATTGCACTTGGTGATGTAAGGCTTGGATGCAGCTACTCGCCCATGGAAACCCATTGCATGAAGCTCTCTATGCACTGTTGTGCTAATCTGAAGGCTACACGAAGTTTGGAGGTCTTTAGCTATTGACTCTGCAGACAGTTGACAACTTCTGCATGCGCTGACCCCACTCGGTCATTTTACGTTGTTCCCAGTTGCTAACGCTTTGTTATAATACCACTATCAGTTGACTGTGGACTATTTTTTAGCAAGAAAATTTAATGAATGGACTTATTGCACAGGTGGCAACCTATCACAGTACCACGCTTGAATTCACTGAGCTCCTTAGAGCAACCCATTCTTTTACAAAAATTTGTTTGTAGAAGCAGTCTGCATGCCTAGGAGCTTGATTTTATACACCTGTGGCCATGGAGGTGATTGGAACACCTGAATCCAATGATTTGGAGGGCTGGCCCAATACGTTTGGCAATATAGTGTATGTCACGTCCTGTCCAGTGGAATGCAAGTGAACAGCAGCACTCTAAGATTGTCCTCAATGCCTGTCAAGTTTGAAGCTCATTGTTTTTTACTTATTGTAAGTGAAAAACGTTTAATTACTTTTATAATGAAGGCAGTATTATGCTATGGGGGCCTCCTCTCTCCTTTCCATGAGATATTAGGACAGGTATAAGTGTACAATAAAACAGCACAAAAAATAGACCTCTAAACAAATATTCAGGTTCACAAATATATGATGCTCATAAGTAAATCACAAATCATAAATGTCCACTCAAAATTAGTGAATATCCCATATAATAATTAATTTATCCTTCTCCAGAACCAAAATAATAAACACCAAAGGACCATGTGTGATGAAGATTGGAGATTCCAAACAATCTTTAGAGACCTTGAGAACACCCGATGGGAGGGGCGAAATGCGTTGACGCATTTCCGGTCTACACTCCATACGTCTGACGCTACTACTGGTGAGTGGAGCGCACGCCGAGCGGTGCGTTCCAGCGGCCATTTTTTGGGATCTGTGCTGGTTTCTTTGCTGATCCTCTGTTCCATCCTGTGGCATTTGATGTGAGAATCCTGGATTATGGGGCTGTGAGCTGGTCGTTATCATCTGGCTGGTATTGGTTCAATAAATGTGCCTTTTACAAGTTGGTAAAATGTGAGTGGCCTGGATTTTGTTTTTTTATCTATACTATTGATCTGGCAATATTACACTATATAAGATTTTTTCCCTGGTGACACGGTGGAGCGGATTCATAGGGCTGTGGTGGGGACCTGAAAGAAGGTCATAACCTGGCGGTGTAAGGATACCATAGAGCTGATGAAAAGAGGGTTTATAATCCCTAAAAATCCCTAAAGGCTTCTCATCACCATTATCTGGTGAGTGCAATTGATGTTGGTGTGCACGGGTGAAAGGTGGAAGCTTTTTTTGATCTAAAGATTGTTTGGAATCTCCAGTCTTCATCACACATGGTCCTTTGGTGTTTATTATTTTGGTTTTGGAGAAGGATAAATTAATTATTATATGGGATATTCACTAATTTTGAGTGGACATTTATGATTTGTGATTTACTTATGAGCATCATATATTTGTGAGCCTGAATATTTGTTTAGAGGTCTATTTTTGCGCAGTTTTATTTATATTTATCACTGTTTGCGTTTTCACATTGCACAGCAGCAATTTAGATCATTATTAGTTTTGTATTGGCGCAGGAATATTTTCTTTTTTTTTTTTTTTTTTTAGGTAGAAGTGTACAGTATGAAGGAAAAGAGAGATATGCTTATCCACCATCAGATCGAGCGCTGTTTGCTGTTGAAAAAGCAAGATGTCCATCTATTCTGGTGAGTGTAGCCAAAAAAATGGGGGGCACGGATTGAAGAGCACTTTTTAAAGAGCACCAGTCAGTATTTGTATAATTTGAGCATGGAGCACTTTAAGAAGATACATATATATCAC